AGCCACCACTGGACTTTCTGAGGAAGAGCAGATCTTTTTTTTCCTCTATGGGATCACTGCTTCTGGGGGACTACAGCCACCATTCTACCAGACTGCTACCACCACCCTGATTAACAGGGTGTCAGGTTGTATCCTGACTCTGTTAGTTTAACCCAGTGTTATCTGCCTTTATAATTTTTTTTTTTCATATTAAATTGTTATTCTGACTTGGTGTCTCCCACTAGTTTGTCTTCAAACTAGCACATCTGTGTATATCAGAAACATTTAGTGATATTCATAATTCCTTAATAATGCAGCACCAAATCAACAAAAAGTACATTACAAAAATTTTACCTGAGGAAACATCCAGGATTACTACCATGCCCATGAGTACTGCACTGGTCTTTCCAACTGACAGCTGCCTCATTTTTATTCAACAAGGCTCTTGTACAGAATTTAGCATGAGTATAATGAAACAAATTCTGATGATCAAATGCTACACATGCCCCAAGGAATTTCACAAAGGTAAAAAAATTGCCTTGCATTATAGATTAAAACATACTCGCGAAATCCACAAAGAGAGTAAACAGAATCATGCTATCACTCACAAGGAAGTTAGGTATTGTGGGTTTGCAAGAAGACTCTTACCTCTGGCAGCTTCTCTGGCAGGAAGAAGGAAGGCTTGGCAGGGTTTGGAGTGGAAAGGAAGTGGCAGTAGTTCATGACAGCACCTCCAACGCTCCTACTGCATGGGCTCAGCGGACTGCTGGCAAGGGTACCACTACCAATACTCACTACTGCTGGAGCACTCTGGCTTTGCAAACATCTAGTGCCTTATTGCTAAGATAAAGCAGAGATTTCATACCTGAATAATTTAATTGATTCCTTCCACAAAGGTCCAATATCCAGATTTTGGACTAGAAATTACAAATCCATTGTAAATAAGTTAATTATAGTATTTGGAAAATAATTTTCAGCAATATTCTACCTCTAAGACTGTGATTATTTCATCACCAAGTCTTTCAAATATATTAGCAAACTTTAACTTTATCCACATATGAAAATGTAGATAAAGTGATCTTTTCTTCTCGATCAAAAAGTAATTGATATATTCCATTGGAAAAAATAAAAGAGAAGCTCCATGTAGAATCTAATGAATTAGATGGTCATAATGGGTCTGGAATAGGAAAAAAAAACAAATTAATATTTTTGCTATAACGTAACTGCCCAGGGTTTACCTACATAAAGAAGTCTCACACTCAGTCTTACTGAAAGTTTTCAATGCTTCACCAAAGCAAAATTTTGACTTAGTTATCAAAAAAAAAATCTATAGAACTAAGAGGACTACTCCTCCAAGGAACCAACGCAGAAACATGAGTGATACGCATCCACTTTGGTTTGACCTCCACATCAGGAACAGATTTCACCACTTCAGAGAGTGCAAATCCTTCTCATAGCAAAAGGATTATGAGGAATCATGAGGCATTAAAAAACATTATAAAATCATCATTGCAACTGGACAAATAATTTCAAAACCATGCCACAAAACTTTCAGACTACTGAAACAGAATTAGAATGCAGGTAACTTAGAAGATAAGATCTTGCCAACTGTTGCCAGGAAAGATTTTGTCATTTTGTGTTTTCTGTAATTTTAAGTCCTACATCAAATCTTTCAATAATAATTTAAATTACGTTTTGATACTATTTCTATTTAATGTTTGTAACAGTCAATATGTTTGTGTAACCAAACCATGTTTGTGTAACCTTGGACATTTTCTAGATGCCATTACATCTACAAAATGTAAAAGAATCAAAGTGGATCGAGAATCCTAGATCACAGTAAATATAACAGAAATTAGTGTCTCTGATCATGTTTATGAAGGCAGGTCCTGCCTGACAAACCTGATCTCCTTCTATGATAAGACGACCTGACTATTGGATGAGGGAAAAGCTGTGGGTATTGTCTACCTGGATTTTCGAAAAGCATTTGACTCAGTTCCCCATAGAATTCTCACAGAAAAACTGTCTGCTCATGGCCTGAATGAGTGTATGGTCTGCTGAGTCAAGCCCTGGCTGGCTGGCTGGTCCCAGATAATGGTGGTCAATGGAGTTAAATCCAGCTGGTGGCTGGTCACAAGTGGTGTTCCTCAGGGCTCAGTGTTGGGACCATTCCTGTTTAACATCTTCATTGATGATCTTGATAAGGACATAGAGTGTATCATCAGTAAGTTCATAGATGACACCAAGTTCAGCAGAAGTGTCGATCTGCATGAAGATAGGGAGGCTCTACAGAGAGACTTGGATAGATTGGATCGGTGGCCAACGTTAACGGGATGAGCTGCAACAAGGCCAAGTGCCAGATCCTGCACTTGGGCCACAACAGCCCCCTGCATGGCTACAGGCCTGGGGAGGAGTGGCTGGAGCTGTCTGGAAGAGAAGGATCTGGGGGTTCTAGTTGACAAGCAGCTGAACATCAGTGTGCCCAGGTGTCCAAGAAAGCCAACGGCATCCTGGCTTGTATTAGAAACAGTGTGACCAGCAGGAGTAGGGAGGGGATAGTGCCCCTGTGCTCTGCACTGGTGAGGCCACACCTGGAGTATTGTGTCCAGTTTGGGGCACCTCCATAAGAGAGAGATATCAAGGTGCTGGAGTGAGTGCAGGGGAGGGCAACGAAGCTGGTGAAGGGCCTGGAGAACAAATCCTGTGAGGAGTGATTGAAGGAGCTAGGACTGTTTAGTTTGAGGAGGAGAAGGCTGAGAGGAGACCTCATCACTCTCTACAGCTACCTGAAAGGAGCTTGTAGAGAGGTGGGTGCTGGTCTCTTCTCACAGGTGATTAGTGACAGAACAAGAAGGAATGGCTTTAATCTGCAACAGAGGAGGTTCAGACTGGACATTAGGGAAAAAATTTTCACAGAAAGAGTGGTCAGACAGTGGAATAGGCTGCCCAAGGAGGTGGTGGAATCACCATCCCTGGATGTGTGTAAGGGTTGTTTGGATGAGATGTTGGGGGATATGGTGTAGCGGAGAACTTTGTAGAGCTGGGCTGGTGGTTGGACTTGATGATCCCAAGGGTCTTTTCCAACCTGAAACAATTCCGTGATTCTGTGATCAATCTGAACTCCAATCTCAAGGAAAAGAAGATCAGAAGCTAGCAAACCTTGAACAGTTTTTTAACAGAATCACTTAAATCAATGTTAAAAAAGTTTGTGTTAAGTGATTAGTTCAAGGTTGCAGCGCACGTGAAATAAACCAAAATGTAAGTCAAAAACTTCTGAAGATACTTGATGGTAAGAGTGCAAATGAGCCAAACAGTGGCAAAAGTGATCCAACGTAAATTGGTTTTGGAGTGTGAAGCTAGACTACTGAAGCAGGCCACAATCCCAAGTGAAAAAACTTCTCATGACACTTCTCACTGCTGCCAACGAGAAGTACCACCAGCTTTGCCAGGGGTGATGCACATACTCTGTTTGGGAACCCACAGGCTGGTTAAGTTCAGTCCTGAAGTGCAAATAACACTTCTAATGGATTTAGTTTGCAGTTCCTTTTCTTTCTTCTTTTGGCGAATGTCATGAAACAAATTCTCAATTGTTTTTAAAATTTGCTACAGCTATGATCAAAGTGTAGCATTTTATTATTCTTGCAGGGCAGTAACGACGGTTAATTCTTAGCCGTTCGAAGCTCAGAGTTTCCTGAGGTATTCTTACAGGAAACCCCACATAAACTGCGCGCACCCCCTTGCGGCGCCCCCGCAGGGCCGGGGCAGGGC